AAAAGTTGGTACATGCATTCATATCTTCTCGCTTAGACAGCTGTAATTCATTATTGTCTGGTCTCCCTGTAACTAAGATAAAACCTCTTATTCGTGTACAAAATGCAGCAGCCCGCCTTGTCACTCGTGCTCGAAAATATGACCACATTACAGACATTTTTATTAAACTTCATTGGTTACCAGTTGTACAAAGAATCAATTTCAAATTACTTTTACTAGTGTATAAATCTTTGTATGGTTTTGCCCCAAATTATCTATGTGAATTAATCGAATTTTATGTACCTAGTCGTAGTTTAAGATCTGAATCAAAGTTTCTTATTAAAACTCGTCAGGTGTGTAGTAAAAAGTCCAAGGTGTTATACAAAGACCGTGCTTTTGAAAATTTAGGTCCTAAACTTTTTAATGAATTACCTCTGTCTGTTCGTTCTAGTCCTTCAGTAGACATTTTTAAATCCAGACTGAAAACGCACTTATTTAAATGTGCTTTTAATATTTGACTGATTGTTTATTGTATCAGCGCCTTTGATCTTCATATGTTGGAATTGTTGCGCTTAATTAAATAAAGTTATTATTATTATTATAGTAAACAATGCAAACTGATTTTAAATTGTATAACGGTCACCGGCCCACGGCATCGACGCAGAAAATTGGAGCAAACAAATATTTCCTGATCAATTGCGATGTGTTCCAAATAAAAAATATTTTATTTCAGTCCAAATCAGCTCAATTACTTTAATAAAGAGTCATTGTATAATGTACAAAATGTTGATACAATTTGATGAATATTTACAGCTACGGCTTCAATACCGTAGACTATTTTGGCCTGATCGTCAACAAAAAATCATCCCTCACCAGGGCAAGCGACTGGAAAAAGACACCAGTGTTCGGTCAAACCGGTGGAAACAAAATAAGGATCTAAACTTGAACCATTCGAGCCACAATATTAACATAAAAATGACTTTCGTTGCATTTGTCAATAATAAACTTACCGAAAAGCTGTGTTATTCTCGGTCGCTAACGTCTGTGTAATCCGCCATTTTATTTGAGTGTGTTTACCACCTGACTCTGCCCAGTGACGTCACCATGTGCGCTATAGAAGGAGGTCTGTGATTCGTTGACTAAAATCGTCGATAGTGGGTCTCGTTGAAATCTCGTTACATAGGCATCGGGTCAGATGTATGTAGGGCGGAATTAAAAAAAAAAAAAACGAAATCAAAGTAAAATAATAATAAAATAAAAAGGCATTAATAACAAAAGTAATAAAAAATAAAATTAAAATAAGTTTATAGCCAAAATAATTAAAGCCTGTACACTACATCAGATTTTAATCAGATTGAGGCCAAAGGTGAATCCAAGTTTAATTTCAGAACTTTCAGTGAAAAGTAATTTCAGTTGTTGAAAAAAAGATTGTTTGTGATTGCAGATCAGAATTTTTGTTTTGTCATTATTGCTTGTTGTATGATAATAAAGATTTACTATTTCTGTATTTTATTATAATTTACTAGGGAAGAAGATCCAGATGATGTACCACATGGACATATCACATCCCTTGTAAGTCACATGACCCTATAATTGAGACATAAACCTAATACACTGTACATATAAATGTTCTTTATTACTGTCGTTGTTAGTTCTAGCACGACAATCTTACAAAATTTACTTTCTTTTTTTTCTTTCTGGTAATTTATAGCAGCCTTCCATGCTGTATTTCCCAGAGTGCATTGCATATCTAATTCCTGTATACACATTGTCATCATTTAAAAAATCAATAGCAAAAAAACTAATATTTTTAGTTCATATTCTACAGATTTACCATTGAATCAGAATTGTCAGGTCCCTGTGGTCTAGATATTTGCAATTTAAATGTTTTGAGGCGACAAAATTGACTGAAAATTTGAAATCATAAAGTTTCAACACAAGTAAAAAGATTCCTGGGTTTTATATAAATTTGCAATCACCAATCATGAATATAAAAGTCAGCTGATGCTGAAATGTAAAAAAATAAATGTTTTAAATCTCCCTTCTAACAGAGTATTTTTTGCATAGACTCTAGATATGATTTTAGACACAACTTTGAATATCTTACAGCAGTAATTTGGTTGAATTGGCTTTTATTCACAAATGCATTCTAGTTATAATGGTTATGTGAACATGTTCTTGTATAACATATACTGTATAAAATATGTTTATGTAATTCATGGTGTTAATTACGTTACCATTTCACTGTTTACAATATGCAGGCAGTGAAGCGCTCTCATAGAAGACTTGGTTTGGCTCAGAAATTAATGGATCAAGCCTCACGCGCTATGGTGGAATGTTTTAATGCGAAGTATGTCTCTTTGCATGTCAGAATCAGGTAATATTAACTTTCTCTGAACTATCGGCAGGGATTGCGTTAACGTGGAATTACGCGTCCGGGAAGCATAGTTTTTCTGTGGGACGCATGAATTTTTCAACTGGTGAGTCCCTGGGACGCATCCGGTGAGCACACGTCTCGGTCGTATTATGATGCGATGCCATTGTCCCGCATACAAAGTTCATAGAGCTTTTAAATTCACGTA